TAACTGAATACAAAATAAAGAAAGTGTGAAAGATTCGATTTACCATTTAATATAAAAATTCATCTTGAAATGAAAAGCAAACAAAAAGAAACTTATATATTAAACAATGGAAAATGGAAGTCTAAAGGTAAACAAAATTGCGAAAAAAGAAAAAGAATATCTAAATAATTGAAGAAATTCTTTTATACGAGTTATTTTATTGCTTTTTATAAACACATATATATTAAGCCGTGTTTCTTTTGAGAAATCAACTCTACGAGGTAAAAACTGGGTTTTTTTTTCATTCGCCCGAGAAAATTAAGATTATATCGATGTAATATACCGTACAATGAAAATTACATCTCGAAGAAAAAAGTCTTACGAAAAGAGTATATATATAGAAGTGGGGGAGTAAAAAAAAAACACACAGGAGGAACGTCACCATGAAAAGAAATTAAAGAAGGTGTTGGTGTTCACGCTTTCGAGTTTGTGGACAAGATGAGAGGGGGGGAAAAGAGAGGAAGACGTCGGTAATTGCAAAATTAGCAAAAACAATTTATCGTTTAATCTCGCGTCCCGTGCGCTTTCGCGACCTGTGCACAAGAGGTCCCTTTGCAACGCCACCACCACCTACGCACACGGCTTCTCTTGCGGCCTGTACCCGGATAAAATAGCTGTAGTAAAAATCTTATAATTACTTTTTACTTCCGTTCGGGAAAATTTTAATTAAACCTAAGAATTCCCTTTAACGAGAAAGCGACGCGACTCGCTCCCGTTTAGAGAGAGCTCCAAGAAGGAGAAAGAAAAAAAGAAAAAAAGAAATAAAGAACTCGGCCAATATAACAGTTCATGCGGCCCCACACATATACGTACCCCCTGGTCAATACCGATTCAAAACTTGTATGAAGAAACAAATACCTTATATGCGAGGGGAAACAAAATAGTCACCTAAAAGAAAAATAGCGATTTTATTTTTTCTTACATTATTGATATTAATAAACCAAAAAAAAAAAAAATGTTAAATGAATATTTTTTTTAAAGAAGCATTCCGTCTTACTGTAACTGCTTTTTACTATATTGATTTTGAAGTAGAAAATTTAATTGTCTGTCTGTAAATGATTTTTACTACTGATTATAAAGTAGAAAAATTAATTGTCTGACTGTAACTGACTTTCACTACTAACGTACTAAAATATTAAAAAATTTAAACCATTGTGTCTGACTAAAATTTATTTGTACTACTTATATAAAATTACAATGTCTGACTAAAATTTTACTTTTACTACTTACAACAAAAAATACAATAACTCACAAAATGATAAATATTTTTATTATTTATATAAAAAGTACAAAAAAAAACTGTCTGACAAAAAGGTTCCTTTTAGTACTTAGATGAAAACTACTGCCTGACTATAATTTATTATTACTACTTACAACAAAAATTACTGTCTGACTAAAATTTACTATTACTATTTACAACAAAAATTCAAAAACTGAATAACTAAAATTTCACTTTACTATTTTATGTAACAAGGATAAAAACTGTTTGACTAGACGTTACTTTTACTACTTACACAAAAATTACTGTCTGACTAAAATTTACTTTTACTACTTACAACAAAAAATACAATAACTCACAAAATGAAAAATATTTCTATAATTTATATAAAAAGTACCAAAAAAACTGTCTGACAAATAGGTTCCTTTTACTACTTAGATGAAAATTACTGCCTGACTATAATTTACTACTCACACAAAAATTACCGTCTGACTAAAATTTACTTTTACTACTTACAACAAAAAATACAATAACTCACAAAATGAAAAATATTTTTATTATTTATATAAAAAGTACCAAAAAAAAAATTGTCTGACAAAAAGGTTCCTTTTACTACTTAGATGAAAATTACTGCCTGACTATAATTTACTTTTACTACTTACACAAAAAATTACTGTCCCGACTATAATTTACTTTTACTACTTACACGAAACTGGCATATTTGTCCAACTCAAATTGAGCCTTACTACTTACACGAAAATTGACAACTATTATATTAGATCTCAAAAATAGATTTGACTAAAAATAAAAATTGAAAATAAAATATGTCTGACTAAAACTGATTTTTACTACTGATCCTAAATTTACAAGAGAACAGAAAAGAAACTAAGAAGGAAAAATAATGAAAATAGATAAGAAAAAGTTAATAATCTTTATAAATCACTTTGTAAAAATAAAAATAAATCTAAAAAAAATTTATTTTACCCAATTTTTCGATATTTTCAATTTAAAGCAAAAATATTTTGTATAGGAAAATTTCAACACGAAATTGTGCACAAGATTTATAATATATGATTTTACGTGAGAATTTCGGTAATACGAAAAAAATTTCATACACGCAGAAAAAAAAATAAATTTATTTCATTTAAATAATATCAATTACTTTACTATTATCAAATAAATATTTAGTTCTATTAAATAATTATAATTTGAATTAATTAATAAGGGTATTTATTTTGAATACAAAAATTATTGTCTTGAATACAGTTTATTTAATTAAAATATATAAAAATTTGATTTGAATAAAAATTTAATTCAAATTAAATATAATAAAAATAAAAAATTATTTGGTCCAAATTAAATATTTTCTTAATAATATTCAAGTAAGCGATTATTTAAAGTAAATAATTTTTTTTTTTTCAGTAACACATATTCATAATCCGGTTATTTTCTTTCACAAAAAATATGAATTTGTTGTTCCGTGACGCCATATCTACCACACAAAGAAATTATGCTTCGTTTATACATATATATACAATATGCACTCACCGGTAATTTACTTTAAAAATTTCGTAACGCGCCGCGGTATTCTCTCAATTTATGTGTTGGTCGCGCGCGCACAAAAAGGCAGTACGCTGCCGCATATCGTCACGGCAATAAGCCTGTAATTTACGGTTGTAATTTATCAATTTGCACAACAGCACTCGTTTGTCTGTAAGCACAACCACTTCACAATGATAATGATGCACGCACTCATTTTCACGAATGAACACCTTACAGGCGTCAAACATTTCTCAATAATAATAATAATAATAATAATAATAATCGCAATAGTTATTTATTCAAATTGCAATATACATATTTCTACTTCAAGAGTAAAATTTACTGAATTTATAAATAAATTTAATTAAAATAATCTAAAATAAATTCCAAGGATATATTTTCAGTTTTAGAATTACGGTATTTTCTTTTTTTTAAAAGATAAGGTGAATTATTTTCCGAAAAAAGGTGGAAGAGAGGTTATAAAAAAATTTTTATAAAATAAATTAAACTCAAAAAAAAAACAAACAATTGAAATAAAAGTTATACTTCTTATTTTCGTAATCTTTAAATAAAAAATAAAAAAAAAATTTACTTTCAAAGTGTAAACAATTTAATTTTTATTTTTGCTTTTGAATTAGTTAACTTTTACTAATTTAAATTTTAATTTAAATTTAATATTTAATACAATGAAAAAAGAAATTTTTTTTTGATTCAAATAATCGTTTACTTGATATCAAATAAATATTTACTTGGACCAAATAATTTTTACTTTAATTAAATAAACTGTATTTGAAACAATAATTTCTGTATTTAAAACAAATATGATTTAATTAATTCAAGTAAATATTACTCATTTCAAGTAAATATTACTTATTTCAAGTAAATATTCATTTGATATCAAGTAACCGATTATTTGAATCAAATAAATTTTTTTTTCATTGTATTAAATATTAAATTTAAATTAGTAAAAGTTAACTAATTCAAAAGCATAAATAATAATTAAATTGTTTACAATTTGAAAGTAAATTTTTTTTTATTTCTTATTTAAAGATTACGAAAATAAGTAGTATAACTTTTATTTCAATTGTTTGTCTGATTCTTTCCTTATTAATAAAGTAGATAATGAAAATAAATTAAAATAAACCAACTTTGTTGATTCATATAAAAGGAGATTTAAATGTGCGACTGCAAGAGCTAATTAGAGATAATGAGATGCACGCGTGTATAATCCACGCTATAAGGGATTCTCAGGAAATTTATAAGATCATAATGAGAACTATTTTTCAGAGTATTAAAAATCCGATTTAAATCTCGGGTTTTGTTGCTTTATATATATATATAAAATACATTTCTGCACATTTATGTATGTGTGTATGTGATGATTTTATAATAATAATTTGCACTGTGAGTGAACACAGGAAACCAATTAGAGTTTGAGATGTAATTAAGCGTTTTCTGTTTAATTTCGAAAGGCATATATACTGTTATCACTTTTAATTACAGGCTGACGTACCTGCGATATTGTAAAATAGGGACGCATATGCATCGCTGGATTGTGTTTAATGAAAACAGATATATACACTATTCGTACATATGTGTGTTATCGCTTTTGAGAACAGTTGGGATTGATAAGAAATTCAATAATTTCAGGACACATTGATTTTTTTCATCAAAAAAAAAAGAAAAAAAAAGAAAAAATTATTGCGAATAAAAAAAACTACCGGTCATTTTAATTTTTGCTTTTTAATTCTTGAAATAAGTGTATTGAAATAAACTGCATTTTACTTTTATCCTTTCATTACATCAAATTCAAATTTATTCTAAATTATTCATCCGCTTATCAGATAATTTAGTTTTTCGTTGCTAAGTGGAAAGTGAGTATCAAGATCAAACCAATTAATTACATTGAAATTTTTTTTTTTTTTTTTAATTAAAATATGATTCATTATTGAAAATTGAAATTAATTTTAATTAAAGGATAAATAAAACTTGAAATCGATTGTTAATTTTATCGCAATGATTTTTGAATAATTAAAATTTCTAATTTTAAACATTTATAATTAAAATTTTTTAATTCTGATAATTTTCTGTTCTTTTTAAAATAACTTTTTTTGTTAAAAAATATTTTTTAAAAATATTTTTAAAAAATATTTTTAAATTTTTTAATAGAAAAATTATTTATAAAAATAGTAATTCTAACCTTGTAGCTTCCAACTGATGTAATAGGAAATGTAGCACAACACTCGCGATTTAAAAAATTTCGAACACTCCCGAACGTACGTTTAAATAATAACAAAATACTTTTTTTTCTCTAAAAATTTAAGCGATCGCGATTTTAAGTATTTCGAACACTTCCGAAACACAAGAATTTACTAAAAATGACAAAAAAAAAAAAAAAAAAGTTTTAAAAACTTTTTGTTCGCGAATTAAAAAAAATTCGAGCATTCCCCGAAACTATTCACTCCAATTCTGAAAAAGAAAATAAAAAACAATAAAGGAAATGTATAATGAATAAATTTTGTTTTGCTATTAAAATTATTTTCCACTTTCCGTTGATCATGTCTAAACAGATCAATATACACAAATTGCAACTAATTAAATTACATTTTCTCCAATCTATATATATTGTTATGACCTTCGGCATAAGATGTATACACTTTGCTACTTCAATGTAAATATATACAGCTCGGTATACAGGTATAAAGGTAATAAAATTCCAAACATCGCTTCAACGAAATTTATAATTTTTAATTAAAATTTAAATATATTATATATTACTTCTATGATATTATTAAGAAAAATAAATATTTGACAAAATAATTTAAAATAATATTTATTGCGTAAAAAAAACTAAACTATCAGAAAAAACGTGTAAATTAAAAAAAAAAGTTACTTGACTACTTGTCACATAAAATATTTATTTTTATCAAAATAATTATTATTTGAATCAATTTGAGGGTTAGATTTCAAAAATTCAAAATGGCGGCTCCAAAATGGCGACGAAACTTTTTTAAATTTCTTCAAATTTGTTTTAAAATTCATTACTCGGGGGTTTTCGGGGTCGTTGATTACACAGAAAATTATAAGGTATTAAAATAAGCGTTGCAGCTTATTTTAATGCCTTTTAATTTTCTGATTACGAATCTGGTATCAAATTTTAAAAATTCAAAATGGCAGCTCCAAAATAGCGGCGTATTTTTTTAAATTTCTTCAAATTCGTTTAAAATTCATTACTCGGGGGTTTTCGGGATCGCTGATTACGAATCTGGTATCCGATTTCAAAAATTCAAAATGGCGGCTACAAAATAGCAACGAAATTTTTTTAAATTTCTTCAAATTTGTTTTAAAATTCATTACTTGGGGGTTTTCGAGGTCGCTGATTACGAATCTGGTATCAGATTTCAAAAATTAAAAATGGCGGCTACAAAATGGCAACGAAATTTTTTTAAATTTCTTCAAATTCGTTTTAAAATTCATTACTTGGGGGTTTTCGAGGTCGCTGATTACGAATCTGGTATTAGATTTCAAAAATTCAAAATGACGACTCCAAAATGGCGGCACAATTTTTTTAAATTTCTTCAAATTTGTTTTAAAATTCATTACTCGGGGGTTTTCGGGGTCGCTGATTATTAATATGGTATCAAATTTTCAAAATTCAAAATGGCGCTTCAAAAAAATAAATTAATAATAATCAGATACATAAAAAAATTTATTACCACCCATCATCCCTTTTCTTTCTCCTCTCAAAATCTTAATTGCACTTTAATAAAAGGGGGCTTGAAACATACAAAATTGCAATATCAAAAGTGGCTTTAATCCTTAATTTTATTGAGCCTTGCAATTTAACGAGAGAGAGAGGGAGAGAGAGATTCGTAAGAGTTGAATGTATCTAATCGCATTGAAAATGCACAAGAGGGAGAGTTGAATTTAATAAACGTGCGCATTATTGAAGGACCATCCGTTACGTGAAAGCAATGTCATATACATTGGGAAACGGCGAACTTCGTAATTAACAACGCCCGGGTTTCTACGCGGGAGGGCGAGAGAGTGAGAGAGAGAGAGAGAGAAAGCCCGAGCATTGTCGGATATTCTAGCGACACCCCACACCAACCCCCCTCACCCTGCTCTTCTACCCTACCCCCCCCCCCTTCCACAGTGATATTAGTCGCGATCGCAGCCTCCAGAAAATTATATTTGATTCTAATCTAGCAAATGGGATGGCAGTACAGGAGTCTATTTATTTACACTTGGTTTGACGCGCATAACCGCACAAACAGTGATGAGAAACTATTGTCAAATTCACTCTGTAAATGATAACACTAAATGTATTAAAAAAAAAAAAAAGATTACATATATATACTATTTCTCATTAAAAAATTCAAATCCAAAAATGTTCTTGATTTACTGCAAAATTATTTCGTGTACATTTTTTGAAAATTTTTTCCTATACGAATACCATAGAAAAAAAATTTATTTCATTCAAATAATCGGTTACTTGATATCAAATAAATATTTACTTGCACCAACTAATTTTTTTTTTTTTTTTGACATTGAAGATTCTTCTTTTTTTTTATACAAATGTATTTTTGCCATTGGAAAGTTTTACCATATTTGTTAGCAAAAAAAAAAAAAAAATTCGATTGCATATAAAAACGTTAAGGGACAATATTTCTACCGCCTCTACATTGAAGAAAACAAGTGGTCGAGCATTTATAGACACGAAGCGGCAAGGCGAAGTGGCTATTTTCCGGCGAGTGCCCGCCGATTAAAAATCCAATTTGACCGAGGTTATAAGGAGCTGGAAGCTTTTAGTTTTTTCCAAAGAACTTGGTGTATACGCGTATTGCTGAGAAACACAGAGAAAAAGAGAAAGAGAAGATGCCAAAACGCCAAAATCCATTCTTCCAGGGAGAGGACCGATTGGTCAATAAATTTACGAATCGGTCGAACTGAGAGAGGGGCCCAGCATCTTGATACTTTTTCCATTTACTGAAATTGATATTACTTTCCTGAAGGTGTATAGCGCGCACTCTTGCCGCATCATGCCAACCCTATATTGCATCTATATATATATATATACGTGAGGAGATCCATCTAACCTATAAATTTTTAACGGCTTAAAGCTTTTCATTCTAGAATTCTTTCAGATACATTTCACCTACAGGCGGTTTCCATTTTTTCTCAACAACACATCTTTCAACTGTTTTTTTCCGATTTTCTATATTTCCCGTAAGAGATTTTAAAAAAAGACAAAAAAAAATTACAGATAAGAATTATACGTTACATTTTACTGTATCTAGAGACAAAAGTTTTGTTGAATTTAATTTTTCTAATAAAAATTTTTTTCTTTAATATCATATTTATTGCTTGCAAATTTTTTACCTACTTAAAAATAAAAATTAACTCTCCATCGCAGGATTTCCTGGCTAAGGAAAAAAATCCTTAGAAACCGTTACTAAGGAAAAAAAATCTTTAGCAAATGTTGCTAAGGAAAAACGGTTGTAGTGACTATTATCATGGAATTCTTGGGCAACGGTTGCTATGGAAAAAAAATCCTTAGCAACAGTTGCTAAGGGAAACCGGTTATAGCAACGGTTGTCATGGAAAAGGTTGCTATGGTAACAGTTGTCATGGAAACGATTGTTATGGTAACGGTTGTTATGGTAACGGTTGCTATGATAACTGTTACCATGACAACGGAATCCTTGGCAACGGTTGCTATGGAAAAAAATCCTTAGCAACAGTTGCTAAGGGGAACCGGTTATAGCAACGGTTGTCATGGAAACGGTTGCTTTGGTAACAGTTGTCATGGAAACGGTTGTTATGGTAACGGTTGCTATGATAACTGTTACCATGACAACGGAATCCTTGGCAACAGTTGCTATGGAAAAAAAATCCTTAGCAACAGTTGCTAAGGGAAACCGGTTATAGCAACGGTTGTCATGGAAACGGTTGCTTTGGTAACAGTTGTCATGGAAACGGTTGTTATGGTAACGGTTGCTATGATAACTGTTACAATGGCAACCGTTTCCATGACAACTGTTACCATAGCAACCTCTTCCATGACAACCGTTACTATAACCGTTTTTCCTTAGCAACTGTTGCTAAGGAATTTTTTTCTTTAGCAACCGTAGCAATTGGAAAAAACAAATTTCTCTTTACGAATAATGAAACGTAATTACAACACGGTTTATGAGTACATATAAACGATTAAAAAAAAAATAGAAAAAAAAGATGATCACACGCATATATATGTATATTTGAAAGGCTATTTGAAATGCAGATCTATCTCCAAACGTCGAGGTAATTAACTTCCACTGATTGCAATATGTTATTACTTCACAATCTAAAGTTAATCGACCCACATTGCACTCATTCAATAATCATTTTGTTATTTTTTTTTTTTATTTCTCATTTGGTGTCCCCTTCTCTCACTCTTTTTCTCTTTTTTTTTCTTCTTCTTCTTTTTACTCTCATATTACGTGACGTTCATTTATCAACGGTATAAAAGTGTCGACAACGGGTTGGTTCGTCGAGCATGACGCCGTAATGAAACCGAAAGACGAGAATGATTATCAATGCGATATCGACGTGTTAATTTACGAGCTAACAAGCGTGCGTGCACACACGGTTGCATGGGCAAGTGCAATTAAAAGACGCGACTCAACGAACTCGTTTTGAACTTGTTATTACGCCAGACATAAATGTATATAGATATATATGTATAAATGTACACAACAGGGCAGCTTTGTACAAGAACGCTTTACTATTCAGAAAAAAAAATCATCACGATAAGATCATTTGTAGTATTTTATATTCTCAAGATTTCAACTTCTTTTGTATATATAAATATACTTAAAACAATTCTTTTATCGTGTTATACATTTTTTTTTTAATCTAATTTTGCCATTCAAAAAGTTTTGAAAACGATTAAAATTTGCCTTCATTGTGAAAAAAGAAATTGGAACAATTAAGTTGAATATTTAAAAAAAAAAATTCGAAATAATTAAAAAAATAAAACACGCGTTTATAAATTTACAATGTCTGCAATAATTAAAAAAAAAAAAAAAAAAAAAAAAACATTTGCCAAGTTTAAAAATAAATTTGTTATTGAAATGCTTTCAATTTTTGAAGCAATCAAAATTGATCCCTTTTAATAATTCACACCTTTAAATTTAAAAGCAGTTAAAAAATTAAGCGCATTTGAAATTTGTTATCCTTGATAATTGAATGCATTCAGTGAATGTGAAAATTTATTTAATTTGAAAGCATATATATATATATATATATACCAATAATATTTGATTTTTAATTAAATAATTTTAATATTACTCATAATTATTTGTTTTATAAATAAATATCAAACGCAATTTTAGTTGAAAAAACAAATGGAAAGGTGACAATTACAAAATGAAAATTCGTTACAAAAAATCAAGTAAATTAAACAGAAAAAATTATAATTTTTTCAA